CTGTCTTCGGTGCGTCAGCCCAGCCGCAGCACCGCTGCATATCTGCCGTTTTTTTCCCGTATTTTCCCGGTATTTCCCAGTTTTTGGCCCAGTCTCGGACCCGCTGCAGATGCTCTGCGTTTGCGTTGAGATCGGTTTCCGTTGGCTCGATGCGGCCGTTATGCAGCTGTTAGACTTTTGTTGCGCTCTTGTCGACGCCTCGTCCGAGATATAGCCGAGATATAGCCGAGATAGAGCCGAGATAGAGCCGAGATAGAGCCGAGATAGAGCCTAGATAGAGCCGAGGTACACAGCCTCAGCCCACCGGTCTTGATGCCGCGCTGCAGCTAGATCTCGGCTAGATCTCGGCTAGATCTCCGCTATCTCGCGCCGCTTGATGTCGCGCTGCAGCCGCCGCCCAAAGTCCTTGAACATCGTCGACCTGCGGACATGTCCCGGACATGTCCCGGACGTGTCGTGGGCATGTCCGCCCCAAGGGGTCTTGAGTGTCGTCGCGCCCGCCCGAGAGCACCACATTCTTGTACAGCCCCCGCCGGCAGTCGATCGGCGAGGCCTGGATGGTCGCGTCGATCACGTTCGGCAGCGGCGTGGTGTAGTCCGGGTTGCAGATCTCTGGGTTGAAGAAGATCTCCGGGCCGAGGAACCGCTCGTACGCAACGTCCACCTAGGAAGTGTCTCAGGAAGTGTCTTAGGAAGTGTCTCAGGAAGTGTCTTAGGAAGTGTCTCAGGAAGTGTCTTAGGAAGTGTCTTAGGAAGTGTCTAGGAAGTGTCTAGGCAGTGTCGAGGATGTAACAGGGAAGTGTCCGCCACGTCACGCTTCTGTGTCACTCTCAAACTAAACCGGGGGCCGCGCTCTCGTGGGCCACGCCCTCCTCTCCCCCCGGGCTCCTTGTGTTGCAGGGTGGTCGTACGCTTCTTGATAGCAGTCTGGAGGAGTGCTGCCAGGGTGGTCGTACGCTTCTTGATAGCAGTCTGAGCGAGTGCTGCCTTCCATGCGATGCCCTTCTTCGTGTTGCCGGCGGTCTCGCGCACCCACCGCCTCGGGTCCTCGTCATACTTCTTGAACTCCTACGTCTCACCCGCCCTCGGTGAGTCTGCGCCGCGACATACACCCAGCAGAGCCTCGTCATACTTCTGGCGCTCCTTGGCCATGTCCGGGCAGACGTAGCAGTATTGCTCCTATGCGACATGTCTCGGACATGCCGTGGACTGTGTCCTGGCCATGGCCGGGCAAGTGCAAGCATTGGCTCCTTGACACGACGCGCAATCTCCATCGCTTCGTCGGCCGG